TCCTAAATGTAGTGAATCCAGTCGTCAAAAGAGTGCTCGATACAGGTGTAGAGCTAATATATTATATAAGTATGACAATCAAATACGCTTGACACGGATAGCAACTATAAGTTTCATGTTTTCGCAATCTTCAGGCTATATGAACAGTTTACAAGACTCGTCTTATTTAAAGCTTTAAAATTAAGATCAATTCCTATGGGATATAATTGCATTTACATGAAAGCTCTAAGTACAATTGGCTAGAAGGAATTTGTTCCTATGACGGCATTTGGAAATTAGTTCAGTTCTTTTGCTTAAAAGTGTACTGGAATTGTTCTTAATAATAATACGTTTTCAGTAGTACATAGGTCACACCTTCTTGAACCACATCTATACGGTGACGCGTGCGATTCAATGGACCATTTGATATTGAACTGATGGTTGTTGTCTTTTAACTCCCATATGTACTTTGAAAGTTCTGTTTCGTTGCGGTATCGTAGATGTCTGAAAGATTTCGTGTGATTATTGTACCTTGTCTTGAATTCGCCTTCAGACTCTCCAAAATAAACTTTAGTACTGTTATACGATGAGACTTCAGCTTTATATACGATGCATTTTGTCAGGCACAGCCCATCCATGGGGCAGTTCGTCTTATTTCTGCAGTTGCACAGCCGTTGTGATTTAGTGTTTGGTAGATTGCAGTTTAGTATCTTCGTGTGTGTCGGTTGATGATTGTTTTCATATTGGGTGTGGTACAATAGCTGAGCTTTGTGGTATTAGTATTGAATATCTTGTATGAGTATTTGTGCCCCCTTGGAAAATGCTTCTTAATTAGCTGTAGGAAGATCTTGCCGATGTTTGTTTTCACTTGGCGGTTGAACGGAGGGTTGAACCAGGCGATGTTTCTTTTTCTGTTTTTGTTATTGTTAGGCCGGCTTTTGTTCGTGTAGGTGAAGTTTGCGTTGAACCCGTTGTTGCTCAGTACTCGTAGCTCGGTTTAGCCTTCGCAAATTCTTCATGGTTGTAGGATAGGTCCGAGATCCCTCTGTTAATGAGTCAATACTTATTGTTGGTTGGGTTGTTTTGTTAGAGTCAAGGTGACCTACGTACGCGHGGTTCTGGGTAGATAGACATCTAAAAAGGCAAAGAATTTTCAAGAGGCCACGTGTTGGAACTTTAGCTGAGATGCTGGCCAAAGAGAAGGGCCACGCAAAAGCTGGGTATTTAGCTACTGTCTTTGTGGTCATGAGGGAAAGATAGGCGTGGAGTAAAACGCCAATAACTTTTCCATAAACTCCAATGTAGGCAGTTTATTAGAATGCATAATAAATCGTTAAAATGACATCACAGTTAGTTCCCACGGGTTAAGACTGGTTGGGATTGTTTTACGTGRGTGATCAGTTATTGACCAGTGGATTTCGTGGATCTGGTGGTGGGCTAGGAGTTTTTCTATAATATTCTGTGCTGTAACTGCCATGATTGCGGCCACTACCAGAGTCATTGCCCGTTTAGAAGAGGCCTGAGGGTCAACCCGCGCGCAAGTGGGCGGGAAAGTCAGCAGATTTAGTTTAAATTGTCTTAGTGTTGTAACATGGCGTTATTAAAGAGTGTATTAACCAATAAATCAGCCGAGATATCTTGGTGTGTCTTTTAGGGAGGGGTCCCCCCTTTTTATTTTCTTCTCTGTTGAGGGTTAGTAGACTCCTGCTGGTTATCCTTTCTCTGGGATAAACTTCAGACGACCTGTAACAGGCGTGTGAGGTCTACTTTCTCCTGAACGGGAACCCTGTCATTCATTATTATTCAGAATATCCTGGTCTCCCTCGGCTCCGTAAGATGGGTTTTATTTTGTGTCCATTTGGCTTAGGGTCAGTGGTCTAGAGAGAGACGTACCAAGGGATATCTCTCTGGGAGAGAAGCAATCTGTGGGTCCAAACTTAAGGGTTTAAAACCTAGTATGGGCCGAGTGTTCCTGGGTGAAGTCGATGGGGTTCCTGTCCAGGAGGGATGGCCTTACACAG